TCACTGAGGCTTTTCCAAGGAACCTATCTCACTGTAGAATTTAATTTTAAAAAAATAAGAATATGCAAAAATATTGGGAGGTTCCACTGAATGACTAGTTAAGCAGGAAAGAATTTGGGTTTACATTTGCAAGTTAAATAACCAAACAGAAAGCTCGTTAGTGTGTAATTCACATAATTGCTTTAGTTCACAGTCTCATTAAATGCAATTAGAACCGAGCTACTTGTCAAGATAAGTGGATAAAAAAAGATTACCAGCATTATGCCCAAAACTGTTCACCAACTTTTGGTTAATTCCTAATTTACAACATCAGTGTAACAGTGGAAGTAATAAATATTTCACAATTAACATCAGAAATTTAAAAGAACAATATAGGGATTTAACATACTACACCAGGGTGCTTATTATAAAACTATCATGAACATTGGTTTGGAGAACTAAGCTAAAAAATGTGTTCCTCGCAGGAATGTTTACAGTTTTAAAAATACATTTGAAATTGCAAATGGCTAATTTGCATGAGGTTTCTGCCCTTGAAATGGTAAATACCATAAAGTGGCTTTTTGCATACAGACAGTATTTTAACAACTGTAGTGTCCTATTAAATGTGGTAATTAACTGTCTAGATATGATGTCACACACTGAATTAATTTCTTCAGAAATAAGAATTAGAATGTGACCTTTCTAGTTCAGAAGAATTTGATACTGTAGACTAGAGGTAATGAAGGCTTACAGAAATTATAAATAGAGCTTGGAGGCCTTCGGGGAAGCTGGTGAGCAAGCTTCTTTGTATTTAATTCTCCAGTTTGTGAGGCTTCAAAGCTCAGACAAACTTAGCAAAAATCAACAGAGAGGAAATAAAATTGCAGAGCAGACGTCTACTTTTGCTTGTATGTTGTGGAGTACCTCATGGTGTAGAGCAGGACTGCTGTCCATCTCTATCTAAGGTCACTTTGATGGTAAAGCATGTCTGGTTAACAGGTCAGTTAAGGACTTCTGAGGGACTCTGGGGAAGACAAAGATTCCTCTGAAATGTCACTTCACAGGGATTTATAGGTTCAAGTACAAAGACAATCTTGAATATGTTATTACTCAAGGTCTGGAAATTTAAAATCCATTTATTTCTAGAAGTGATAACTTAGAGTGAAGTATGACAGCTCTGCAAAAGGGCATCACCAGGGCATTTTATTTTTTAAATTAGTTTCATTTTAACTTAGTGGTTGGAAGGATTCACAGAAATCTCCTGTGAAGTCAAGGCCTGGTCTAGGAAGATGCATGTAGTTAATTATGAGAAATGAACAGGACAGGTTAAAGGGGAAGTTACCAGCAGAACTAATGTTATTTGTACCTTGAGTAAGAGCTCACACTCTTTGTTTGTTTTTCCAAGAAGATAAAAACACTTTAATCATTATATCTAATGAAAACAAATGCCATGAAAGACATCTTAACAAAAACAGCATCTGTATAAAAAAAATTTCCATATTCATGTTTCCTTCCTCTTATGAAAAAAAAAAAAAAACAGATTTTCCTTAAATATCTTAAAAGCTCTCTTACAAAGTTAGTTTCAACTTTTCATGGGAAATTTTTTCACTGAAATGTAATCCTTTCTCGCTACACTCTTTGACTAATCCTTTTCATATAGCTGGTATGCTTTGGCATTAAACCGCTGCAAGTCTCTCATAAAACCCTCAAATACAATAGTGAGGTCTAACGCTTAGAAAGGATGGAGGGAAAAAATGGGAAAGGCAACACAATGCCAAGGAGTGCTGTGTATGTATCAAAATGTCCTCAAAACACAGCTGATTAGCTGGAAACCAAAAAAGTTCTTTCAGCACTGTAAAAGCAAGAGTGGACGGCCAACAGTTAATATTCCCTGCAGGCATCTGAAACAAGCAAATCATGACTACTGGAAATGGCTGCCCATGTGAGGATATTCATTATTCCTAGTGGTTCTGACTAGTTCTCTTAAAAGACATGACATTGTCAAGTTGTGTCTCAGCTGGGTACATTTGGTACATCTGGGACACCTTAATCTAGGATTCCATTGTACACACTACTATAGATTACACTGGATACATCTGGATACAATCCCAGATAATCAGCTCTAGGCGGCCCTGCTTAAGCAGAGTGGAGGGATCAGTTTACTTCCAGAGGTCCCTCCCAACCTCATCTATTCTGTGATTCTGAGTGGCTGTGGTCATTATTCCATTTTATAGATCGAGAAAGAGAGTGCAAGGGTAATGGTCATCATCACACAAGATACGAGCAGAAGAACATACTTTCTTGAGCCCCAATATCCTTATGAACACAATTAGGGACAGAGAAGCTCATGTGCAGAAACAAGTTGATGAGTTTCTTAGCTGTTCAGTGAGAAGGAATATTTTGCTTATATTCATTTCAAACAATATAATGAAACTATTGCTATACAGTTGCTTGTATGTTACAAGTAAAGAGTATGTAATAAAGTGAGTGAGTGACTAGAATCAGGTGCAGGGAAAGGCAGAGTGGAGGAGTAGGAGGACAAACAGAAAGTAGGACAGGGAGTACACAAGCATAAATAGAGAACAAGGCAACAACAGAACGGCTGTGGGAGCCAGTGGGGGCAGGTGGAGATCCATAACCCATAAATGTAACATTCAGATGCTCCATTAATAGAGACAGCCCAAGAGAAGTGCAGAGGCCTCCCCCAAGAAGAGCCAATGAACAATCATCTCATCTA